TACATCCACACATCTAAGTCCAAATAATAATATTAATATATAATAAATAAAACATGACACCAAAATAATGTAATTAGTATTTAAAAAATAAAAAATTGTTGCCGTCTAGCTGCTTGACCCATTTTTTTCAGCCTATTCGTGCATCGTTGACGGTCCAGCGACGCCTAAGTTGATTTTGAGTACAGTGCTTCATAGTCAAATACTTATTTGCTAAATCCTAAATCCTATTCCCCGAGAGAGAGCACGTATTAGAATCAAATTCGAACCTTACACTAGCGTGAATCAAATTGCTAACAACCTCAGCATAATTTAACAACATTTTTATTGATGATTCAAATATTTTGTACAAAATGTTTAATTATGTTTTTGAAAATAAGTATTTATTTCCATTTATAATCATGCTACATAAATATGGATCATTTTTAAATAAATATTTGAAATCAATAAAAATTTAAATAATGGACCTCCCCCAATATATAAGTATTGTCGCTCTGTGTAAGTTAGACATAAAGATGTTCCGCTGCTTTATTTTTGTCTATTGGCAAAATTTCACATATAATTTAAATTTAATGTTGCCCAATGCTAAATCTATATATATATATATATATAATTACTAGCTAATAGCATTTAATAAAACCTATTTAATTTTACCTATGTGGCAATTTAACAATTTTCCCTCTAAAAACCGTTACATTTTGATGAATTTAATCTTTCATTTAATCATTAAATAATTAATACTCATCACTTCAAAATTACAAAAATTATTTTAAACTTTTGATTAATGACAGTTGACCATATAATGTGTTGACCGTATAATGTGATTAGATGTTATTATTGTTGTTACATTTAATTTTTTTTTTAAAATAGAAAATATATTTGAAATTCCTAAATAAATAATAAATAATTCACAAATAAAAGACGTACCAAAATATACATTACATCCAATCAGATAAACACAATTTAAAAAAAATATTCTAACTCTTTTAAATGTAAATTTGGTCTGCAAAAAAGTGAAAGAAAAATAATTAATCATTATATGCATACAGACTCACAATAATTTATTTATATCTGTGCAAATGCACAGGTCGAATACTAGTAAGGGTTAAAGAATTGCATCTTCTTTATCCTTTTCCACTTGGAAAAAAAATATAATATTGACTTTTCTTAATTTATTGTGTATAAATTATACTAGTATAATACCCGTGTATTACACGAGTGTTGAATTAGAAAGCTTTTGTAAAAATATTAAATTTTTTATTTTTTTTAAAACTAAAATAATTTAATTTTATATAAAATAATACTTTGAGTTTTAATTAAATTGTCAGATTATATTTTTTTTCATAATGATTAAACACCCATACATTAAATGAAAATATCAACCCGTGTTGAACTTTTTTACTTATATCATATAAAAATATCGATATTATTTACTATTACATAAGTACAAAAATGTATCTTAAATAAATAGAAATAATATGGTGATATGTATATGCATAAGTGTAGAATATGTTTATTTAATATTAAACAAAATAGATTAATTTTTTTACTTAATTAGATGCCTAATACATCACGTGTCGTATCACTCGCGCTTCACAGTTTTTTAACTTTATATGTAATTTTAGAATTTATATAAATAATAAATTATTTTTATTACATTGACAATATACCAGTTAAATTTGAAAAATATCATTTTTAAAAGAATACATACCTATTTCTATTACTTTATAATATAATTTATAGTTTTATTTGATATAATTTAATTAGTTTGATAAATAAATTTAAATTTTATTTATAAGGATATATATTACTGTTTTGTATTATATATATATAGATAAATAGTAATATACAAACGGACTTCATAATATCAATTCAAATGCAACACACTAATTAAGATTTTTTTTCTTGACAATATTAACCCTATTTAATGGATGTTATGGGAAACGATGGAGATTGGATATGAAAAGACACTGTGTATTAGATGGAGGGTTAAAAATAGAAAAATATGAACAAAATGTCAAAAAACGACATTTATTTTATCAATTATCAATTAAGCCAACAAATAATAAAAATAGGAGGGTTGTATATATTATTATATATTTTAGTATGATACATGTTACTTGTGCGACTTATATGTGTTATATTATAATAAATTTTCTACCTTATAACATATAACTACATTAAACATTAATATATTAATTGATAATAATTTTATTTTTTAATTAATTTTAATAAATAATTTTTTTATTATTATAAAGANTATTTTTTTTTCCAACGATATAACAGCTCCATTAATAACAAACAAATAGCGAAAGAGTACAAGGGAAAAACCCCAATTCTGGACAAATGAGAGAACAAGCCACAGGCTTGTCTAAAATGCGACAACAACAATCCAAGGCAAATAAAACACCGACCAAAGGAGCAAACCCAAGGACCTGAAACAAAGCAACAGAACCTGACTAGAACTACAAACACAGCTGAATAAATAAAAGCACATGATACAAACATACACAAGTCAAATAACCAACTGACCCTAGACCTAGGCTACAGACTTGGTTCTGCCATCATCCAGAAGTGTGCCTGCATTTGTAGTCAATCCAGTCTCTAACAGCAGCCCTAACAATCCACTCCTCCGGGTGCCATTGCCCTTCAAAAATCCACAAATTTCTAGCTCTCCATAGCCACCACAAGATGTAGGTGGATAGCTGAATCCTGTCTTCAGAAATGTCATCCTTCTTCATGTTACTAATCCACCACCACCACTGCTTGACAGTAAGTTGCTCTTCAAAAACCCTATCCCACTGAACTGGAGCAAGTTTCCAAACTAGCACAGCTTTTGAGCAAGAAAATAGAACATGCTCTTGTGTCTCTTCTCCTTCCCCACATACTCTACATCTACCCTCAACATCCATTCCCCTCCTCTGAAGATTAGAATTGACAGGCAAAATATCTGAAATGGCTTGCCACACGAAATGTTTCACCTTACCCATCACCTTCAACTCCCAGCATCTTCTTCTAGCTCTTTTATTGCCCTCAGCTTGCCCACACTCTCAGCAACTGCAGATGAAGCCACCTTAGCAGCCAACATTTTACCATAAGCCTTCTTAACAGAGAACTTGCCTTTGTCCACCAAGCCACATTGTCTTTTATCCTCAGCTCTTGGATTCAAAGAGTTAATCTGCAGTATTTTTTCAGCATCATCTTCTGAGTACAAGGCCCTAATAAGATTTCCATCCCAATACACACCACCAGCCTGAAGGAGATCATTTACCCAGAAAAGATTGCCATCTATCCCCACTTTAAGTTCAGGACTAGCTCTGTTCAGACCAGGAACCCAATTTGGTTCAGTAAGCCTGGTACTCTTTCCATTTCTGATGGTAACTTTAACATGTTTCTGCAATTCAGGAAGATAAGAAGCCCAGGAAGACCAAAGCCAGGAGGCCCCCCCTGTATTATTCCAATAAAAAATAGAGCAGTTTTTAAAGTACTTGTTCATAAGCAGTTGACTCACCAGTAGATCAGGCTTTTCAACAATCCTCCACAGCTGCTTGAGTATCAGAGCCTTATTGAACAGCTTCAGGTCTTTGAAACCCAGTCCACCATCATATTTAGGCATAGCAAGCTTGTCCCAGGAGAGCCAATGCATACCCTTCTCTTTATCACCACCCTTCCTCCACCAAAATTTAGATATCAATTGGAATATCTCCTTGCAGATGCTAACAGGAAGCACAAAACAGGACATCACAAACACAGGTAAGGCACACAGAACACTCTTCACCAACACCTCCTTTCCTGCAGTAGAAAGAAAATGATTCTTCCAACTACTAATTCTATCTTTCACCACATCAACCACAAATTTGAAAGTATCAATTTTAGAAGCCCCAATCCCAAGGGGAAGGCCAAGATATCTGGATGATCTTTTAACTTCAACCCCAGCCAACAATATAGACAGTCTACTACTGAGATCAGGAGTCCCATTTTTACTCAAGAATAAGGACTTACTCAAATTCACTTTCTGACCAGCAAACAACTGATATTTAGCAAGAATATCTAGCAGCATCAACACATGAGATTCATCAGCTTTGCAGAACACAAGTGCATCATCAGCAAACAACAGATGGGAAATCATGGGACCTTCTCTAGAAATTTTAATGCCTCTAAACTCACCAGCAGCTGTTTTATGGTTTAAACAAGCTGATAGCACCTCAGAAACCAGAATAAAGAGATAGGGGGACAAAGGATCCCCCTGTCTGATTCCCCTAGAGGAATTCACATAGCCACACACTTTGCCATTCAAATTGAAAGAAAATGTAGGAGCAGCAATACAACTTAACACCCACTGAATGAATTTAAAATGAAACCCCATCTTCCCCATCACTCTCCTTATACTATCTCATTCAACCCTGTCATAAGCCTTTTCCATATCCAATTTGAGTGCCATAAATACATGAGGCCCAGAACTATGTCTATGAAGATAATGGAAAATCTCATGAGCTATAACCACATTATCCATCAATAATCTACCAGGCACAAAAGCAGTTTGGGCATTGCTAATACACAACTCCAGACAAGGCTTCAATCTTTCAGCCAACAGCTTAGCTATAATCTTATACATCACCCCACATAGACTGATAGGTCTATAATTTTTCAGAGATACAGGATACATACATTTAGGAATCAAAGTGATAATAGTATGCTTCAAATTTTTCAACATATGGCCAGAAGAGAAGAAACTGAAAATAGCTCTACAGACATCATCTTTGATAATATATCAGAATTTTTGAAACAAGATAGCTGTCATACCATCATCACCAGGTGCCTTCTCCGGGGCAAGACTGAACACCACAGCTTTAATTTCCTCCTCTGTAAAAGCTTGCACCAAATCAGAATTAACAGCATCAGAGATAGAAGAAGGAATGTGTTGAAGCAGCTCCTCACCCCCCCTTGATCCTTCTGATTTAAACAACTCAGAGTAATAGCTAGAAATGTGGCCCTGGATGTCCTCAAAATTTGAATACACCTCCCCTGACATGCTGGTAAGTTTGGTGATTGAGTTAGCATGTCTTCTCTGAGAAGCAAAGGCATGAAAAAACTTTGAGTTGCAATCCCCAGCTTTGAGCCACAGAGCTCTGGATTTATTCCTCCAATATTGTTCTTCATCAAGGTGGGCTTTGTCAAGTTCATTCTTCACTAAGCCCCACTGCTCCCAGTCTCTTTCCCTGCCCTCAGCCCTCAGACTAGCCATCTTCTCAGTCAGGACTTTAATGGTTCTTTCCTGGTTTCTATGGTGAGGTTTATGCCAAACAAGTAAAGCCATTCTGGTATTCTTGATCTTCTGGTGCACCTGATATAAAGCTGAACCATCCACACTAATCTGCCACCCTTCCCTCACAGCCTCAGACACTCCCTCCATCTCCACCCGGCCACTGTTAAACTGGAATCTCTTATGTCTCTTGTTGATCTCTAGCTCAGTATCAAAAAGCAGCACATTGTGGTCTGAGGCAGATCTAAAATAATTTGAAGCCTCCATTCTAGGAAATCTGGCCAACCAATCAAAGGATGCAAAAATTTTGTCTAGTCTCTCTTCCACATAGCCATCTCCAGCTCTATTATTGCCCCAGGTGAAAAATGACCCTTTCTGAGCTATTTCTTGCATTTCCATGTTATTGATGAAGTTCTGGAAACCCACAAAACTACTGGAATTCCTAGTCAGCCCCCCTCTCTTCTCCTCATTTGACACTAAATCATTCCAATCCCCTGCAATCACCCACCCATCACCCCAGTTGCTTTTCCTCTGCTCAAGGAACTCCCATTGTCTACTTCTCTCCCTTCTGTCAGTGCTCATGTACACAAATACCATCCAACACCAATCCTCAATCCCAGCCCCTTTAGCCTCCATTTGCACACAAAATTCATTTCCCACAATCTGATTCACCTCCATCTGAGAATCCCAGAGCAGCAACAATCCTCCTCTAGAACCAACTGGATCCACCAAGTACCATCTGGACTGAACTCCAAGCTTCCTACACACAGTATTAGTAAATACTCTACTTTTCTTTGAATTCACAAATATATATATATATATTTAATATATCAAAATATATCAACATTTTATTTTGTATGGTCCGATTAATATATCAAAATATATTTTTAAGTTTAATGATATGTTTTATCTAATAATATATTTTATGTTCTCAATCATTAAACGAAAATTTAACTTAAAAATATTTGTTGTTAATGACCTATTAAAAAAATTTTATTATGATTAATAAAATAGGAAATATAAATATATTGTTGAGCCATTTTATTGCAAAAGACTTTAGTTTGTTCAGATAACATATAATGAAAAATACAACAACAACAACATAGCCTTTTAGTCCCAAGCAAGCAAGTTGGGGTAGACTAGAGATGAAACCAAGAGAACCAATGGTAAGAGAAACACAAAAAGGGCAGGAAGAGATTGAAGCAAAAGAGAAAAGAGCAAAAGTCATTGTTCTGGCACGTTGATTGCTAGCCTCCAATCTCTCCTATCCACCGCTAAATCCTTGGAGATATTTCAATCTTTAAGGTTTCTCTTAACCGACTCTTCCCAAGTGAGTTTAGGCCGACCTCTAATGAAAAATACTTGTGGACAAACTCGAAATATTTACGTTAATTAATTATAGTAATTAAATGATCCTGATACATCCATATCCACTTAAATATTATACTCGAAAACTAAATATTTTAAAATTCAGATATATCCATGTATTGATACATACTTGTGGACAAACTCTATAAATTATACTCCATCCTATTTTTATAATTTGTCATCCTAGCTTAATTGATCATTTGTTAAAATAAATGTTGTTTTAGCTATTTTGTACATATTTTTCCATCATTACCCTCTTCTAACTAATAAATACACTACGTCTTTTCATATTCACTCTCCATCTTATCTCAAAACATCAATCTCTATCCTCAATGAGGATTATTATTGGGAAAAAATATTCTTAATTATTGTGCAACTTCTCAAAACGACATTTATTAAAAATAAGAGGGAATACTTTTTTTTATATGTGGTCGTGCGTTGTTATACCTATTTTCTTCAATTTCTTTTATATATTATCAAACTATTATTAATCTCTTGGAGACTGAACCCGGAGTATGAATGACTCTTCATACTCAAATACCTATTTGCGTAATCCGAAATACTATTCCCTCAAGAGTCAAGAAAGAGATACCACGCATTAGAATCGAAATCGAACGGCTACACTTAAGAGCATCTCCAATGCAACTTTTGACATTATAAAAAGTCATCCATATCATCAACCTTTGAAAGTGTGTCTCCATTTTTTTCTTCAATGCATCTTGTCATGAACTCTTTCATGATGAGGTGGATGTCATTTAATGTTGACAATGTTGAGCACACTTTCTAATATCTAACAACATGTTAAACATTATGACTCATCAATTTACTTTATATTTGGTTTAATTTTTTATTTTTTTTGTATCAATGAATTATTTAATTGGTCCACCTATACAAATAACTTCTTATCAAATTAATGCATTGGAGATACTAATTTCATTGAAATTTCTAGTCTTTTAACATTATTCCAATGGGGATTAACATTACAATCACTAATTGACATATCTTAAAAATAATTGTCTTTCACACTTATAACATTGGAGATGCTCTAACTACCTAACAACTTTTTTTTAAGCGTGAACAACCTACTTGTGTGAACAACCTAACAACCTTTTTTTAAGCGTGACCAACCTACTTGTGTGTTTCATGCGTGACTTGTGTGTTTCACAACATGTTTTGTTCATCACTTGAGGTACGTCTATTTTTTTTTTAACATACTATTTTTTATAACATACTCTGGATAAAATCACATTCCTCAAAGCTCATATGTCATTCCAACTTTAAGCATCCTCTTCTGAGGAATATCAAAAACCCTATTGCTCTACCTCAAGTTCTTCTTCAAGAAATTGTATGCATAATCTATCAAAACCCTCTTCCCAATATTCGCCCCTTTCGCCGCCACCACCTCGTGCTCCCCCACCATATGCACCACCGCGGACCGCCACACCCGATCCAAATCCCCGATTTCTCCCACCAAATCACCCCCATCCTCACCGCACCTCCCCCTCACTAGATAACTCCCCATCTCCATCAACATGTTCAATTGACCTCACATTGTGCCAATAATCCTCCCTAATGAACTCCTTTAGCCTCTCAAACAACAATCTCTCAAAGAGCTCTTCCTCATTCCTCACATCCTTGTACTCGTAACGCACGACACAACGGAACACTTGAAGCTCCTAAGGTTGGACCCTTTGGAAAAGGAACCTTTCCTCGACTAATCGGCAATGACTTGAAGGACACGAAGACCAAAACCGAGTGGAAAGCGAGCACATTCGACACGTAGTGTTTGAAAATCGAAGGGATTCCGTGAACGAATGTGCTCGATAATTCATGTCCGAGTAGAAGATTGCTAGGCCCGGGAGCCTATGGGAATCCATGTCCTCGATAATTCCCTTTACCTCCTCGCGTGATAGCTTGTGGTCGAGCTCAAAATGGTACTTCTTTCTATACACGTAGTTCCACACGAACATAATGGTCATCAAGAAGAGGGCGAACGCGAGTGGTAGGTAACCACCTTGATCAAACTTGTAGAGAACTGAACTCAAATAAACCAACTCAACCGAGCCGATGATCAAAACGTACGCAATCACAAGAAGCATGTGAGTCACAATCATGATTAGGACTATGTAGGAGCCATCACAAACACAACGGCAATCCCGTAGGCATTGCCGATCTTAGTAGTAGTCTTAAACCTGATGGTTACGAAGACGCAAGCTATATATCATGAGTAGGTAAACTTGATCTCAGGAACGTAAACTTGTCCCGGATACTTCTTAGACGTGTGCACGATTTTGACGCCCATCTTCTGTTGTCAACTGGTGACAACACCACAAGACAAAAGGTTTATGTTTATATATCAGTCTTGACAAAAGAAGTTTTTTTTTTTTTAAATATTATTGAGCCATTTCACCAATAATCAGTTCTCCGACAAAAGAAGGTCAAATGGGGTTCTCGACAACAATCTAAATTTGGATCTTCAGGTTCCATCACCAACCATTTTACAGACAAAAAAGGCTCTTTCACAAGCAAGTATTAGCTCACAAACATGTTAACAACCAAGACGAGAGATTAACGGCCCACCAAACTTCTTCTCAAGATTAAAAATACCAAACAACAGGCTACTAAAATTGGAAACAAGAAACAACAAGAACACGGAAAACATTTATAATCACCTCACGAGGCCAAGCCGCTCGAAGCTTCGTCAGTCTTGGAAACGCCCTTATCCAGAGACGGTGGCACATATATCCTGGCCTTCTTAAGAATCTCCGCCACAATCCAATACTTGTGCTTGCTGAGCGGCCGCGAAGGATCCAGCCTCACCTGCCATTTCATTACAAGACGATTACAAAAGAAATACTCAAGCGTTTTCTATGTAACTCGTAAGAGAGAGAGAGAGAGAGAGGTACGAACTCGATCGCCGATATTGCACTGGTTCTGCTCGTCGTGAGCCATGAATTTGGAGGTGCGCTTGACGTAGCGGTTGTAGAGCTTGTGATGGAAGAGGCGATCGACGGCCACCACGACTGACTTCTGCATCTTGTTCGACACCACTATCCCGACCACCGGCTTCATCCTGAATTTTCCGATGGATCTCTCTCTCTCTCTCTCTGTGAGTGACAGAATGTTCAAAACCAGGAAAAAAACCCTCGATCTGAACAGCTGATGTCGTTCCGTATTTCAAATTGGGGCCTTCTTTAGTCGCAATTTAGCCGATTGTAATGTGTAAGAATTTGAATTTTGACCCAATTGGATTCAAAACTTCATAAATCTCACTATTTATTATATATAAATAAATAAATAATTTTACATGCCAATTTTTACATAATTTTGTCTGTAGATATTAACATTTTTAAAATCATAAAAAAAAAATTGACTACTTAAATGATAGATTTTGAAGTTATTTTATTTATTTGTTATAAAAAAATTATATTATATATCAAAATAATTATTTTTTTACGATCTTCATTTAAACATCTACATTGCATGTAAAAAATATAAATAATTATATTTACATTTATAAATTAAAATTAATTTATATTGAAATTCTAATTATATAAATAACTAAATTATATATAAAGCACTTATATGGATGGGTTGCATAAATTAGTATAACATAATACGATTGATTTTTATTTGGATGAGTGTCGCTCTAAACAAAAATAATATAAGTTTTTAATAATTAATTAAAATTAATATTCAATTATGTGAACATGTACATATGGAAGTAAAGTTTTATTATAGGTTATATGTGTGAATGTAATATTTAAAATCATAAATTAGATATTGAGATTATCATATTTTTATAAATTTTATCATTAGTAAAAACTAATACAGAGCCCGTGCGATGCACGGGGTGCACAATTTTAAGGCTATTTATCCAGACTTATAATTATATACATGAATAAAGACAAATGTACGGGATATATATAATATGTGACCCGTGCGAAGCACGAGATATATTTATTTGGAAAATATTATATTATAAGATGCAATATTCAATAAAAGTTTATAATACGCAAGAAAATTGTACAATGTTCAATAAAAGTTTTATAATATTCAAGTGGAGTCTTAAAGTCTCTTGTACATTAAGACTACTGACAAAATAATATTTAATCAATGAGTTTCCTTTCCTTGTAGCCAAATTGTGAATGTGATTTGAGGAATACAACAAATCGATATATAGCTGACTTGCTTTTTTCATTGTAATTTTTTTTTCTTTTTTTTTTATAATGAATTTAAAGATATTCTAAAATATAGCAAAAATTAATTTTTTTTTATTACAATTAGGAATTTTACTAAATATAAACTCTCAATCTATGGTGTTAATCAACGTTTAAGTCTAAAAAATTAGGAATTTTTACCTCTTTTAATCAACGTTTAAGTCTAAAAAACAATAGAGTTATTATAAGTTTTTTTTCTACATCTTTTAAAACATTAAATATGAGCATGTTAGGGCTAGCTTGTAAAATAATTAATATATTATCTCACTAAAACATTTATACTAATAAAAATTTAATTTTAGCATATAAATTTATCCCTTGATATAAGAGAAAGTAACAGTTTTACTTATTGTTGTTCACCATATAATATTTAATTATTATTTTATTATATAATAAAAAAGAAATATTGTTAAATAGTGTAGTAGAATTTTTATAAAATTATATGATTTTTTTTTTTTACAATATGAATTTAATATTTTTTTATGATTTGATAATATAAACAAATCTATACTTAACTTTGACAAATAAAACAAATAAATACTTTAGTAAGTATTTAATGTATATACTAAACTAGTACGGAGCCCGTGCATTACACGGGACGATAATGATCAATCATATAAATTAGAGAAAAATAATTATTAACATAAAAATATAATATAATAATAATTTACTTTTTATCCTTTTCTTTTTTTTTTTAATGATATGTAATAATTTACAATTTGAAAAGTCCATAAGTATTGTTTAGAGTTTTTGTTCACAGAAATATAAAAATTTTAACATTAGCAAATCTAAGAAATACAAAAACTTCCTATTAAATTTCTCTATTTGTACTAATATCTTATTAGCATAAATTTTTTTTATTCAATATCTAGTCTTAAAGTTAGAAAATTGTGGTTAAATTTAAAATAATATTTATTTTATACATAAAGTTAATTCTCTAAAATAATTTAATACAAAGCGGATGTAATTTATTTCAAAGTTATAAAAATTAATTATTTTCAATTAAGACACATGATAATTAATTAGTTATTTTTTCCAATTTATAGTAATATATGTTAATTATGCTTAAAATAAACATTTACTTAAATTTTATATATTTTAGCATAAAAATTTTCTAACACGTGTAGTCAAATAATATTTTTTATGCCAAATTAATTTATTTAGTGTTTATTTATATAATCATTTGTGTGCAATTATAAGTCTATCAATTTCACGAATTTAAAATGTTATTTTTTAATATCAATTCCAGAAATTTATTTTTTTTTTGGTTGATATACTGCTTTTTTGGGTAAATAAAATTGACTATGAATTTGGAAAGAATATATAAATTTATTAATCTAGTGAAAATATCTCTTAAATCATATATCCAATCCCAAGTTTCGAGAATCTTATTATGAGAAACTATATATTATTTTTGAAAATATTAAAAAGAAAAAAATAGGTTAATGTCTATGAAATGCAACCAATTAACCAATAACCATGAAATAAGATGCTAAAAAACAATTGACGGAATCTATACTTGTAAAAGATCCACGAACAAATCAAACAAAGTGTAATGTTTTCATTCATAAAAAACCTATCACATTTGTTGGGAATCAAAATAATTTAATCACCGTCACATATATCTTGCATCCGTCATAGATATCATGCCAAAAAATATATGATATCTATATAAGTTTAAAAATTCAAAAACATTTAGATGTCCAAAAAAGATATTCAAAAAATCCATAATGGATATCATGATATCATGCCAAGTTATAATAAAATGAAGCGAGTAATTTTTAGAAAATTAACGTGGAAAATTTAAGATCAAGAATGTTGAAAAGGTAAAAAAAAATGATAACAATTCCCTTAATTCAAAATCTGACTTTGTACATAATATTTTTTTTAAAAAAAAAAAAAATACTCGTAAGTGATTCAATATTAATATATCTTTATCCATCCTCGTATTATGTGAATTTATTCAATATTAATTTTTCTTTATCCATCCTTGTATTTTGTCGGTTTGTATCAACATGATTTATAGAAATGTAATTTTTTACGGAAGGTATTGTTTTAGATTTTCAGATCTTGAAAAAAAAAGTGTCAATGATTTTTAAGAAAGAAATTCCGTGAAACCAAAACGATTTTTGTTCCACAAGTGTAGTTTCTAGAAACGATGTGTTAAACGGGTTTGGTTTTGATATCTCATGGATTTTTGTTGTAAGTATTTTTCCCCTACGAAAGCTAATTCGAGTTAATATGTTATGACATTTCCTAAAAAAAATTATATAAGATTATTTGTTTTAATTTTTTGCAGTCCCGTTAATTTCTTTTTAGAAAATGATATGACCAGATTTCTTAAAAAAAATAAATAAAAATAAAACAACCCATCGATTACACCTATAAACTTTACAATAATATCATAAATTTTATAAATAATGTTAATTGGAAAGAGGATAAAATATTTTTAAATCAATCTATTTCCTTAAATAAAATCAACTCACTTAAAATATACATAAAGTGATAAAATATGGTTAATGAAAGTGGCGAAAAGAAAATTTCAATCAAATATTTATTGCAAAGATTATTTTAGATGTTCTCAGTTGTAGGAATTTTTTTTTTCTTTTTCTAAAAAAATCTACTATAAATTTTGGCGGAAATTAAAAAATGTCTAATTGTTATTGTAAGGAATCAATTAAGGAAGATCTCAAAGTTTTTTTAAGTCAACAAATCAATTAAACAATATCTCAAATTTATTTATGTCAACAAAAAATCAATTAGACAATATGAATAATATTTCATAAAGCATATCCAAATTTTTCAAAAAAAATCCAGCTAGTATTTATCTATTTAAATAAATCATATCCCAATATAGTAAAAAAAAATTTTTATACTAAATAGGAATATATTTGGTATAATCAAATACCAAATATAATCAAATAAGTCAAAGTGTACATTTTTATTTGGTATTTGATTTTTTTATTATTATAATCTTTTTATTATACTTACCTTTTTAAAATAAAACAAATAAATAAATCAATTAAATAAATAAAATATTATAATACCAAAATAGTAATGACATTTAATGCAGTTGACTTTTCTGGATAGTAAATAGAATCTCTTTTTATATAAGTATAGATTGTATAATACGGAAATAGTAATGCAATAAATGTTGTTGACTTTTCTTTATACTAAATCTGGTAAATGGTATACATTTTAATATAAGTATAGATGAACGATCTAGATATTAACTATTTAACTTACATATGAATATTTATATCGATATTTATGCAATCTTGGCTCATTATACCAAAACTAAAGAGCTAAATAAAATGTATACGATTCATAGGATTTAGGGTTTTTAATCACAGGTAGTTAATAAGAAAGTATTTTTTAAAATATTTTAAGAAAAATATTATTAATAAATTGTCGAGGACTGATAAATAAATATAAACCTTTTGTCTTGTGATGTTGTCACCAGTTTACAAGAGAAGATGGGCGTCAAAATCGTGCACACGTCTTCTTCGTAACCATCGGGTTTAAGAGTTAAGACCACTACTAAGATTGGCAATGCCTACGGGATTGCCGTTGTGTTCGTGATGGCTCTTACATCGGCATTTTTAGTGCTAATCATGATTGTGATTTGGAAAACTCACATCCTTCTTGTGATTGCGTACGTTTTGATCATCGGCTCGGCTGAGTTGGTTTATTTGAGTTGAGTCCTCTACAAGTTTAATCAAGGTAGTTCCTACCACTCGCGTTCGCCCTCTTCTTGATGACCATTATGGTCGTGTGGAACTACGTGTATAGAAAGAAGTACCATTTTGAGCTAGACCACAAGCTATCACGCGAGGAGGTAAAGGGAATTATCAAGGACATGGATTCCCATAGGCTAAAGGATGTGAGAATGAGGAAGAGCCCTTTGAGAGATTGTTGTTTGAGAGGCTAAAGGAGTTCATTAGGGAGGATTATTGGCACAATGTGAGGTCAATTGAACAATGGATATGGGGAGTTATCTAGTGAGGGGGAGGTGCATGGTGAGATAGGTGAGGATGGGGGTGATTTGGTGGGAGAAATCGGGGATTTGGATCGGGCGTGGCGGTCCGCGGTGGTGCATATGGTGGGGGAGCACGAGGTGGTGGCGGCGAAAGGGGTGAATATTGGGAAGAGGGTTTTGATAGATTATGCCTACAATTTATTGAAGAAGAACTTGAGGCAGAGCAAAGGGTGTTTGATATTCCTCAGAAGAGGATGCTTAAAGTTGGAATGACATATGAGCTTTGATGAATGTGATTTTATCAAGAGTATGTTAAAAAGAAAAAAAGAAAAAATAGACGTACCTCAAGTGATGAACAAAATGTTATACGATTGTTATAAATCGAGTATAAAAATTACACGGGAATCCTACGAACTGATATGTATTTTTTAGTTCTTACAAATAATCTAAAAAATAGAAAATTACAATTGAACTGAAAATTAAATTACAACTGAAAATTATATTAAAACTTAAAAAAAAAAACAAAAAGGAAAGATTTTAGCCGAGGCGAGTAAAACTCTTTCCGCAAGAAGAATACGCCCCGTGTGGCAGCTCAGGTTAAGGCGTAACTTCCCTAAAGATACAACGACAAACGTCTCTAAATCTGTAGCACACCAGATTTACGAGCTCCGGCGAACTAAAACGGAGTCGAGAATTGAGCACTAAACAAATAAAAAAAATATATCTTTATGATAATTTTTTCTTTATTATTCTCAATAATATTTTTATCCCTCTAATATTTTCTGGGACTGAATATTTTCTTTTCCCTTTCTTTTGTCTCCCTCCTCTCCGGTATATCTCTCTTTCTTCTTCTCTATTCAACAAATGAGCACATCCCCGTATTTATAGATCTAGGAAGCATCTTTAATATGGTAGTTGATAAGGGATCAATAAAACCGAGTTGTTGAGAGTTGTTTAAGAGAGTTGACAATTTGGTAATAATAGATGAAGTGGTTTGACAAGAATCTTTCCACGCGTAGCAATTAATTGGTTGATTGGGAAGAATTTGTTGTGTAGCCAATTTAATACACTCACATCACAATTTGGTGGTTGTGAAGAATCTGATGGGTACTCACATTACATTAATAACAATCCTCCACATGAGTGTAATTATATATATATATATATATATACTATTGTGCTCAATCCTCACAAAACTCTATTGTATCAGAGAAGGTAGCTTTTGGCTTTGAACCTTTCATAGTAAACATCATCGGATGCACTGGCGGACTAGTGTACATGATGTCTTGAACTATTCCTCCATAGTGTACACCTAGACAATGACACTCACACAATAGAGTTTAACTCCATTCCGTTCTATCATTGTGTCCGTTTTGGCCATGGACAACACAATGGATTCATAAGTGTTTACATTTGAAGCGGCCCACACTTCACACTTATATAGGTGACCTCCCTATCAAGAGTATCCTGTATTATTCCACCTTTACAAGGTTAGGGATTCATTAAAAGTCCACATGACTTACCCTTACCACAATCAACAAGTCATCAGCACTTGTAGTGCTCTAGAGAATAGCTTTGGACATACATATGTTCCAAGTGCTCAACTGAATTTTCATAGATTAGTTTTCCCTTTGAACCAAGTTTGTGGGATCTCCATTCAGCATGGTAGGGTTACCACTATGGTCATTCTTTACATTGTAGATTTTTAAGCCCATTCCCTCTAGCAAAACTACCAATTGATCTCTATTCAATCCTTTCGTCAAAGAATCAGCCAAATTTTCCTTAGACTTCACATAGTCAATGGAAATAACATCATTTGTGATCAATTGGCGTACGGTATTATGTCTACGACGAATATGTCTAGACTTACCATTACACAAGTTGCTCTGCGTCCTACCTATAGCAGCTTGGATATCACAGTGAATCATCACAGGCGGCAAAGTCTTATCCTAACATGGAATATCGGATAAAAAATTTCTAAGCCACTTGGCTTCTTTACCAGCTTTATCTAAAGCTCTGAACTCCGATTCCATCGTTGACCGAGCTATACACGTTTGTTTTGTGGATTTCCACGAAACTGCACCTCCTCCAATACAGAAAACATATCCGCTAGTGGAGCGAGAATCTCTCGAATTTGATATCCAGCTTGCATCACAGTACCCTTCAAGTACGGCTGGATATCTCGAGTATTTTAGCCCGTATTCAAGGGTGTACCTCAAGTACTTAAGTACCCTTCTCAAAGCATTCCAATGTTCATGACTGGGATTGCTCGTAAATCTGCTCAACTTATTCACCGGATAGACCAAGTCTGGTCGTGTACAATTCGTTAGGTACATCAGACTCCATATTATCCGAGAATATTCCAACTGAGCCACTGGTTGACCTTTATTGGCTACCAGATCTATACTAAGATCAAGGGGTGTCTTACACCTAGACTGTGCACCGTCATAGGTATCAAATTTCTTGAGCACTTTCTCTACATAATGAGATTGTGACAAGACAATTCCATCTTGGGTTATGATAATCCTTATTCTAAGAATAACATCAGCCAAACCCATATCTTTCATGTCGAAATTTCTTTTCAACATTCTTTTCGTATCCATGATCACTTCATGGTTACTCCCCATGATCAACATATCGTCTACATATAGACATACAATCACAAATGTATTTGATGTACTCTTGACATAAACACATTTGTCACATTCGTTGATTTTGAAATCATTTGACAACATCACGTCATCAAATTTCAAATGCCATTGTTTCAGAGCTTGTTTTAGTCCGTACAAGGATTTGATCAATCTACACACCTTTCTCTCTTGTCCAGTTGCAACAAACCCTTCAGGTTGTTCCGTGTATATTTCTTCTTCCAATTCACCATTTAAAAATGCCGTCTTGACATCCATTTGGTGAATCTCAAGATTGTGCAAAGCAGCAATCGAGAGAAGCACTCTTATCGATGCTAAACGCGTAACTGATGAATATATATCAAAGAAATCATACCCTTCTTTTTGTTTAAAGCCTTTGACCACCAAATGTGCTTTAAACTTATCAATCGATACATCAGCTTTATATTTCTTCTTTAGGATCCACTTGCATCCTAAAGGTTTACAACCATCATGGAGATCAACCAACTCCCAAGTATGGTTCTGCATAATGAACTCGATTTCGCTATTTACAGCTTCTTCCCAGAGTGGTCCATCTGGGCTAGACAGAGCTTCCTTAAGGGAGCTCGGTTCATCGTCCAACATGTACGTAATAAAATCAGGTCCAAATGTTTTCGCCGTTTTTAACCTTTTACTACGTCTCGGTTCTTCATCAGTACCCTCTGGTACAGAACCACTAGCAGTTTCATACATTCGTTTAATAAAACTAGATTTTGCTCTTTCCTTCAGAGGAAGAATATTCTCAAAGAATATAGCATTACTCGACTCAATCATGGTACCAACAGATACCTCTGTATTTTCTGATTTATGAACCAGAAATCTATATGTTGTACTATTGTACGCATATCCAATAAATACACAATCGATCGTCTTTAGCCCAATTCTCATTTGTTTGGGTTCCGGTACTGAAACCTTAGCCAAACACCCCTACACTTTTAGGTATTTATAAGACGGCTTACGATTTTTCCACATTTCATAAGGAGTCTCATCTTTCCCTTTAGGTGGAATTTTATTCAGAATATGATTTGATGTTAAAACAACTTCTCCCCCACATGTTCTGTGGTAATCCTGAATTTATCAACATGGCATTCATCATTTCTTTTAACATACGGTTCTTGCGTTCAGCAACACCGTTCGTCTGTGGAGAATAAGGGGCTGTCGTTTGATGAATTATGCCATATTCAGAACATATTTGTTCAAAAGGAGCTACATACTCCCCACCCCTATCACTTTGGATTATTTTAATCCTCTTGCCAAGTTGATTTTCAACTTCGGTCTTATAGATTTTAAATGCTTCCACAACCTCGTCTTTACTTCTTAACAAATATAAGTAGCAAAACCTTGTGCAATCATCGATAAAAGTAACAAAATACTTTTTACCAGTTCTTGTTTGCACACTTTTCATATCACATACATCAGTACGGATCAAGCCTAATGGTTCATTACTCCTTTCTACCGAGTGAAAAGGCAACTTAGCCATTTTTGCTTCAATACAAATTTCACATTTTGTATTTGTCTCAAATTTAGAAATAGGAATTAATTCTAAATTCATCAACCGTTTAATTGCATTTAGATTTACATGTCTCAATCTAATATGCCATAAATTAGAGCACTCAACGGTATAAACATAAATAGGCTTTTCATTATCAACGGTTACACGGCTCATGGCCATTACATTCATTTTGAACATACTCTTGTCGAGATAACCACGACCAAGGAAAGTTCCAAACTTGCTAAGAACAAACTTCTTAGCATCAAATACCAGCCTAAATCCATGCTCAACAAGAAGACATCCGGAGACCAAATTCTTGCGGATGTCTGGGACATGCAGAACATCCTTAAGCTTCAACTCCTTTCCAGAAGTCAGCTTCAGCACCACAGTGCCCACTCCAGCCACATCAGCTGTGGCGGAGTTTGCCATGTAAATTTTTCGACTCTTAGCAGGAGTGTATTCAGAGAACACCTCCTTATCGGAACACACATGACGAGTGGCACTAGTATCGATATACCACTCTCTTGGGTTATCCACCATATTGGCTTCAAACACCACAACTGACATATCAAAGTCGGTCAGTTCACCCGACACAGGGTCGTGTTCAGCCACAAGGGCACTCGGTTTACCTTTCTTTGGCCCAGCCTTCTTTGGCCTCTTGTAATCTTTAGCCATATGGTTCGGCTTTCCACAATTATAACAAGTTCCGATAAACTTCCAAATTTTGGCAGACTGCTTCCCTTAGTCTAGGGACTTCCTTTTGCTCGAGTTGCCTTGCTCTATCAAGTTAGCACGAGCCTCCATCATCGGAATTTTCCCCGATGAATACGATTGTCCTCCTCAATACGAAGACGAACAATCAAGTCTTCAAGACTCATTTCCTTCCTCTTATGTTTGAGGTAGTTCTTGAAGTTTTTCCAACCCGTCGGCAGTTTTTCAATTACAGCCGCAACTTGGAATGACTCGCTCAGAGACATTCCCTCAGCATGAATATCGTGCAAGATGAGTTGGAATTCTTGCACTTGTGACACAACAGTCTTTGTGTCAACCATTTTGAAGTCAAGAAATTTTCCGACGACGAATTTCTTCGCCCCGGCATCCTCGGTCTTGTACTT